GCTGACCCCAGGGATTCTCCCATCTGCCTCTCCTAGGAGTACAGGTGTGTGTTACTGGGGATCAAACTTGTATAGCAAGCGCTTCACCAATGAAGACATCTCCTCAGCCTCAGGTCACAGAAGTATGGAGGACAGATGGGAAAAAAAAAAAAAAAAAAAAGGCCCCTAGCTGCTTCTCAGACCTGTAGTGAAAGTCGCTGATAATGATCAAATCCAGGTTGAAACAGGGTCCCAAACCTGGGTTTCTACATAGCTGGCGAAACTAGTCTGCTAGATCTGCCTCATAAAAGTCTTTGAAATATCAGGGTTATTAATGGTTTGGCCCAAGCATGTGGGCTGGCGGGACAATGAACTGTAGGTCTGGTGGGGAGGTACTCAAGAGTCTTACCCTTGGGGTGGGGGTGTCCCCTCATACTTGGGGCTGCTTCTCCATGAAGCACAGGCTGCAATACTGATCTGATGTTTGGTCTTTTGACAATTTTCACGTAATGAATTGATTCCTACAGTTCATTAACATACCCACTTCCACTTCTGTGTACACATATGTCTTAATTAGCTGCTCATTGGCTGTTTAATTACAAGAAAACAGCTGACAGCTGCCTTGTGGAATTCTAATGGCAGACGCTTTGGAATGGCTACACATTTGCTTTTTGACAACCAAGATTTATTCATGACTCTGAGTTATCGGGAGTGCTCCTAGGCCTGCCCAAAGCATTGCGTTTTGAAATTCAACTAAGACTTGGAATTTCAGAAGACTTTACAAGTGGGTTCTATGTCTGCCTTTTGTTTTATTTCTGGGGCTGGGACGAGCCGAGTCCTTTATGTAAAACGATGCCCTATGCCCCAATTTTATTTTTTTATTTATCCTGGGAGCTTTCTTTTGAGAATGTTCAGGAGGGTGAGGATGAGTGTGGGGAGCAAGTGGAGCAGCAGGACAATGGGGGAAAGATGGTAACTGTCAGTTTTACTCAGGGGAAAGGTCATCCATAGATTGAGGCTGTGTAGATCAGGCTGGCCTTGAACTCAGAGATCCACCTGCCTCTGCCTCCCAAGTGCTGGGATTAAAAGCATGCACCACCACCACCAGACGGGCTTGAGACTCAGGTTCTTCAGACAGTCTCATGTGCACCAGTTAGCTGGTGTACAGGTCCCCTAGCCAGGCAACCCTACTCAGGGAAACTTTCTTCCATAGATATAACCCACCTCCTCATGGAACTGTGTGTGCCAATGAGCTCTGATGTGAAGCTGACCTCACGGGTCCCATTTGTAAATGGAGATATCTGCTAGCACCTGAGCTCCAACATTCTCAGATCCAATCCCAGGAAAGGCACTCAGTGCCCCCAAAGAGAACCTTCCAGAAATCTAGCAGGGAGGATTTCCACCTACCACACGGCCTTGAACCCAGCGTGTTTGTGAGTGGAGGAAGGACAGTAGCTACTGAGACATGTTTAACAGGTCATTTGGTTTTGTGGCGCTGCAGATTGAACCGGAAGTACTCCATTCACCTCATCACTTACACGTGGCAGAATGGAAAACTTTGATGGTTGAAGGGGGAAGTAACAGCAGCCTTTCCCAAATCTAATTTTCATTTTAAAAGGTTGAACTCTAATCCAGGACTAGGCATTTTAAAGCATTAAAAATAAAAATATTGAGTATGAAAGCATTAATGTTGAAAACTAGACAGAACCAGCTCAGGGGTCACAGTGACTTTTTACAATCAAATAACAGCAACAAATAGAATTCATGAAGAGCTATTTGGGCCTGAAGGGAACATTGGTTAAGCTTCTTTCCAGCCAAGCACATACAAAAGCTCCAACATACTTTGACAATTTCTTCAGAGGGGAGAAAAGTGTCTGTTACATACTCTAGTTATTTCATGAGAATGCATATATGCAGAGATGATTGTGAATTTCCCTGTTACTGGCTGAAAGAGGAAGTTTCACATAGGACACTATCTTAGCTATAAGTCCTGACGAAGTCAAGTCTCAGATAAATGAATCCTACTTGGCAAATATACTATGATGTAAGTGTATATATATTTTGATTTATATGTGTGTATATAATACACTACCCACCTCCTCCTTACATACCTACTTGATGTGTACTGTGGTTTTTCCCTCCTAATTATACTGCCAGAAAGAAAATCATTTATGATTAGCCATGGTGGGATCACCTCCACCTGGTTAAAATTTGATAATTAATGACAGTGGCAGAAGTCTTTTGACTTCACTGTAACTAGGGAAACTGTAATATGGAACAGGTACCGTATCCCTCAAAAATGTACAACACTGAATAGATTACACTTTGGTGGCCTTCACTGTGGGAAGCTACCTGAGCAGAGGCTCAACCAACAGCTGAAAGCCATTTCAGCATGGAGGTGTCACGTGGACAGGATTTGGAAGGGATTCCAGATGATAATAGGATCTTAACTGCTTTTAGCCTTGCTGTTTGTTTTTCTTTCCTCCAGAATAAACACTGGGCCTTGAAATGTACCGTGTGCATGTGGAAATGCATCGGTCCTCTGCCACTTGAGGATTTACTGAATAGCCTGTCACTAGTGAGCCTTTCAAATTGCTAAAGCATAGCACCCAAGTCACCCCGCCCCTGTATTTCATATTTCCAGCTACTGTATGCTACTGTATGTCAGTTCAACACATAGAAGAACCACAGGGGCACAGTGGGCAGGCTCAGGGAGGGTTGAGCTTCTTGGGCAGAATGGAAGGACCTAGGTGGTATAAACACCTGGGTGATACGCCAGATTTACTGAGGACCACGACAGAGCAACAAACGCTGTGGGGATAGGAGAGGCTCTGGTGCTTCTACCACGGATACAGCTTTGGGGACGCAGGCTGAAGTTGAGGCCGTGGTTACAGACAGGTCATTTGCATAGCTAGGTTAGTATTTCAACTTTCTTTTCATGTGTGTGGGAGACATGCAGAGGCCACAGGGGGCTTTTCCACTGTTGCTCTTATTGCCTGAGACAGATTTGAGCTCTCAGGATCTGCCTGGTTCTGCCCCACCAATGCCAGGGGTCCAGCACACACAGCGGCATGCAGCATTTTCGTTTTTTAAACATAGATGCTAGGTCCTTATACTCGCAATGCAAGCAGTGTTACCCACTAAGCCTTCTCTCCAGCCTCAAATATTTCATATTTATTTTGGAGCTAAGGACCAAACTCAGGGCCTTGCGCTTGTTAGGCAAGCGCTCTACCACTGAGTTAAATCCCCAACCCCAAGTATTTCATTTTTAAAAGAATTTATTTCAGAGAGGCCAGATTAAGGAAGAAAAGGGTGTGGGATTTTTTTTTTTTAAAATAAATCCAGTACTATGAGGCCTTTGCCACAGCGATGAATAATTCAAAATTCCCCTCAGTAACAAGTTTCCCATTTCTAAAAGGTGGGTGGCCTTTTAAAGTACAAAAGGATTTGGTGATATGCAAAAGTCCCAAGCTTTGACCAGTGAGGTGGCTTAGTGGGTAGAGGGACTTGCCACCAGGACTGATGGCTGAGTTCCTGGGGCCCACATGGTAGAGAGAACTGACTTATGCAAGTTGTCTCCTGACCTCCACATGCATGCCATGGCATCTGCACACCACTTTCCTGCCCCAAGTAAATACACGTAATAATTTTTTAAAAAAATCCATCTTCACTAACCTGCAGTCTAGATGATATATTTACATATATGTAAATCAGCAAACGATATTATGATTAGCAGTGAGGGGAACAATTTTAACAATTAGGGGCTAATCTCCCCTAGATCTCTCAGCCATTACGTATGTCTGCAGGAGATTTTTCTATTTTATGACACAATATATTCTTGTTTTCACTAAAGGAATGCAAACCAAATTTGCAAATTCTCCCGCACCCCCCTACCCCCAATCTTAAAAAGTCTCAGGGCTAATTTGGGTCTAGCTATAGCTGTCTCCTAGGCCGTTTGCATCAAATAACATTTCTCCTACTCATTTTGTGCCGTTTTTACGCTGTCTCAGAACTCTTCCCATACAAGCAGAAGAATTTAAAACTTAGTCAATGGAAATTTGTATAAGTTTGGGGGCGTGGTCTTGGAATGACTAAGCATCTCTGTCTTCCGTTCTCACAGTAAGCCTGTGTCCCTGGCCCCATGGTCACATCATACAAATGGTCACAGTAGCAATAATAAAGATGCTACTCATTCAAATGACTCTTTTCTGTTCTTTGGGCTTTTATTTAAAAGCACCTCCTATTCTTGGAATAGTCCGAACAGGTAGGAAGGGCAGGTGCCATGGCTACTAAATAGAAAAAACTGAGTCATTAAAAAGGCTGAGATATGTCCCAAACAGTGTGGGCCAGTGGCACCAGGAGTAGAGCTCAGTTCTATAATTTAACCAGGTGCACTAACATCTGGATACCAACAGAAAGACTTAGTCATATCCATGTGAAACTTGGAAATACCTTCTCATAAATCCAGTAACAGGGCAATCAGAGGTCGTGTGTGTGTGTACACCAATGGATGTCAGAATAGGATGTCAGTGTCCTCTTCTGGAGCTCCCTGCCTCATTCCCTTGAGACAGGGTCTCACACTGAACCTGGACATCCCTGTTGCTGCTAGGCTAGCTGGCCAGTAAGCTTCTGGATCTCTACCCTAGAAAGCCGGGGAAAGAGGCACGGGTGGCCATTCTTGGATTTTTCACATGGGCACCAAGGGATTTGAATTCAGGTTTTCATTCCTGCACACAGAATGCTATTACCCACTGAGCCATCTCCCCAGCCCCCGAGGTAGCTCATCAGTGCAACAGATTCTGGTCCCTTGCTCTTTATTCTCCTGCCATGTTGATGGAGGGAGTAAAGTATATGTAACTGCTGTAATGATAATTGAACATCGCAGTCCTGACCACACCCTGTCATCATCACTCAGAATCTCAAGGAGTTGAATTTTTAGGCAGACTGGAAGTAAAAAATAGAAATGGCAAAGATGCCCCGTAACATGAATAGAAACAACAACAACAATTAAAACAGCTTACCTTGCAGCCTTCACACGTAATGACACCATAATGGATTCCTGACGATTTGTCTCCACAGATCTTGCATGGAATAATTTCAATTTGAGCTGCAACAGAAGCATGCAACCAGTTAATTACATTTTCTTTTAAACACCTTATAAAAGCGTTCCCCGATCAGCATTTGTATAGTGAAAACTAATAACCTGCTAAACATTATCCTGCATTAACTATTCATTGCTGAACTGTGAGGGTCCCCCTAGAGCCCTGGACTAAATTATGGCTGCTCGTTATATAATAGCTTTTGGGTTATTAAAATGGGTCATTTGAGAAGGTGTTTAAGAGCCCACAAGAAGACTGGAATCAGCATTTCAAAGGCTTCCAGAACTGGAGAGTTCGCAGTTTAGGCCTCAGAGCAAAGCCGATACTAAAGTGTGTCCCCTCCCCTCCCATCTCATTTTCCATCATTATTTTTAAAAGGTCATAAATCTGTCTTGGCTGAGCATGTGGCTTTTGACTTGTAGAGAAAAATACACCCCCCAAAAGTCAGGTCTACTTAGGAAAATGATTCAGTTCAAAATATTAATAAGTTACATATGATAGGAAGGGCTCCTCACTCATCCTTTAAAAGAATTAATGTAGTTGCCAGGTGTTCAAAATTAGTTCATTTTTGTACAGCCAAACCTCTCAGCCATAAAGTTAATATCCTGCCTGAATTTAATAATGATGAATTTTGCCAAACAGAAAAAGTTGCTTCTGAATTTTTTTTATGGTGGAAATTGATTTTTCTTTTGGTGCAGCATGCATGTATTTTTAGGCAATTGATTATTTAAAGCTGCTTGCCTCTGGAAAACCAATTGATTAAGATATCAGATCAAAGTTCGAAGTCCTGGCTAGGCATCTATTCATCTCTAAATAAACACACTGTGTTTCCAGTAGAGTCAGAAAAAACAGAATGGAGAACGGAAATATACAGAATAGAATACATGGGAGGAAAATCCCACGTTTAACTCATCTCTTAAATAAGACTTCTATATGGAATCATGGAGACCAAGACTGATCTGCAGTGATGGCTATGGTTCCATTTACCTAGAATGTTTTGTTGTGCTACCTTTATATTCCAACATTTTCACCGCTGGCTATCACCATAGCGTGTTATCTGCCGAGTTAGACATGCAGACAGAATAGCAAGTGCCCTAGCTAATTTCATTTTATGCAAGTATTTGTCTGGGTAGCTTTGTGCCTTCCACAAAACAATGGTTACATCCAGGGACTTGGTTGCACGATGTGTGCAACACACACAAACACACGACTTATTCTTTACTAAGGCCATACCATATCCAGGGATATTTTCTGTAACCACTGACTTTGAACTTGATGCAATGATGTAATGCCATATCCAGATACACGAAGTTCCTGGATTCAAACTCATTATAAACTATGCAGTCTGCTAACCCCCTTCCAAGAAGATGAACACAAGCGTGTGGTGACTTCAGCTATTCTAGAAGGAAGGTCTTTTCCCTATGTATTTTTTTCAGTACTTCATACCATGCTTGTTCATCCAAGATTTAGGTGTGTGTGTGTGGGGGGTGGGGGGTGGTATATGCACGTGACAGCAGTGCCCACAGAGACCAGAAGAGGGCATCAGGTTCCCTGGAGTTGGAGTTGTCACAGGCGGTTGTGAGCTGTGACCATAGGTGCCAGGAACCGAACTCAGGTCCCTTTGGAAGAGCCACAAGAACTCTTAACCAATGAGGCATCTCTCCTGACCAGATTTAGAGAGTGTTCAAAATCATCTGGAGGCCTGCTGTCTCACAATGGTGTTACTGGAACTTAGAACGTTTAGAGCTGTATTAACAAACATCCCATTTCCAACCGTGCCTTGTTTGACTTCCTCGAGGGATATAGCACAAGGCCCCGTATTGAGCATTCCTCTCAACATCTTCGGTAACGTCACGGGAAAGGCAGTCTGAGTTATGCTTGATGCTTTTCAGACAAGGGGCAGAGGGAAAGGCATCTAAAAAGTTCTGTCAGCCCACTCAGTCCCAACCTGGGTTTTCTCACATGCATGAACTGGTCTATACCGAGAACTGGCTGCCTCCACCCTGACCTGTGAGGAAAAGAATAATTAGGTGACACGACTCAGTCCACCTACTAAGCAGAATTTATCTGAGAAATAAAGACAGCCGACCAGGAGCTGCCTTCTGGCCCTGCTCCACTTCAAACTATCACTGAAATGACATGAGCAGCCCTCGACGCCCCTCCACCCCCACCCCAGTGTCAGTCAGCATCAGAACCACTTGAGGCAAACTGAGCAGCCCTGCTCATCTTCAACCTGGGCCTTTCGAGAATCATCTTCAGGGCACAGGGGCTCAGTGGGTGGACATCTGTCTTGTAAGCAGAGGACTGGAGTTCAGATCCCCAGCACCCACCTAAATGCTTGGTGGGCATGGCAGCCAGTCTGTAATTCCAGTGTTTGGGAGGCAGAGACAGGAGAGTCCCCAGAGCACGCTGGCTGTCCAGACCAGCTGAATTGGTGAGTACTGGGTTCAATGAAACGCCATGCCTCAACGCAGAAATAAGCTAGAGAGAGGCTAAGAAAGGCGCATGACACAAACCTCTGGCCTTCACATTCATGTACACACATGTGCATCCACACAGATGCAAAACAACAAAATCATCTTCAGTCTGTCTGAAAGATGGAAGATACGTCTATCAGTTCTGTATAAGAATCTGAAGGCCCTGGGCAGGCTATCTAGGGAGACTAAGTAACACTGCCTGAGTCAAGTTGGGATGTGACTGCTACTGCTGTGCTCTGGGGTGGACTTGAGAGAGTACTCAGAATGCTTCTAAAGGGCTACTGAAATGTTATATATAGGGAGATTTGGTGGTATGCTCATGATAGGGGGAGGGGCTAGAAGGATCACCCCTGCCTTAACACCATCCTCTAGGAATGGCTCATGGCCTGACTGGGGGAGGACAGCAACTAATGGCCGCACAGCCTCCCGTGGCTGGTATTGCTGGGTCAGGGCTGGGGGCCTGAGTCAGGCTTTCGCAGCCTTGGTCTTCAGTCTTGCGTAAGTTCAGGTCTTTCAGATCTCAAGGCTATCCAAACCCAAGCTGATTGCACAAGTTTACACAGAGGCCACAAAGCTAAGAATGAATGGGCGCACGTAGACTCACTTGTCCAGGATGCGGCCATTTCCCTAGACCTTTGTTTCATCATGATGTGCTTAGCCCCAGCGGGCAATGTAGGCTAAAGAATTGGAGTTAGAAAAACTTCTCCAGGAACTGCCCAGGTGGGGACCAGAAGGGTCTCTGCAGAGCAAGGTTCAGCTCTTTTGTTTGGTCAGCTTAAACGGCTCTCTTGCCGACACCCCCCCCCCCCCCATGGCTGTCTTATCTCAGGAGATATTTCAGCCCTGAGTGCTCTTTGGGAGTGACGAAAATGCACCTGCTCCTACCACAAGTCCTCTGAATGTCATCTGATCACAGGATCACACGTGTTGACATTCCCACAGCAAACATTTGCAGCTGGGAACAAGGCACTCACCCATCTCCCCATTCAATCGCCTCAGCCGCCCCAGCCCTACTTACTCTCAGTTGACAGACTCAAATGAATCAAAGAAAAGAAAACCATAGTCAACGCCTCCCAGACATTTCAAAAAGATGGCGGCTTAGTCCCACCAATTTAAGTTTTCCCTTCAACGGGAAGGATAAGAATCCCTTTGCCTTGCATCCCTCCAGCCTTTCCGTTCTCAACCAGGAAGCCCTGTCTTCTCCAAATAATACTCTTTCCACACAAAGGCTGTGTCTTAGCTCCTGTATCTGCTACACACATGAACTTGGCCAGCATTCCAAAGCATGATCTCTGTCGGACACCACCATGGTTGACAATCACAAGTACACAGACTAACGGGAGCACACGTGCATGTCTCCCAGCCAGTATCACTGAGCAGTAGATCCCTGGAAGCCAGACGTGGCTGTATGGCCCCAGATCAGCCTCCCAATGAGCAACATTGCTATGAAAAGGTCTCGTTTGCTCACACTTTTTTTTTTTTTTTTTTTTTTTTTAGCCCTATTGCCTAAATAGTTTGCTCTTGTACACTCTACGTAATTCAGGCAGGATCTCTACACTTGCAGAGGCAGATTTCTAGAGCTGACAGTAGGAAGCCTGAGAATGCCAGCGTGCTAACTGATCACATGATTCTTGAGCTGGGTGGTCACTTAGCATGATATATTATATATATGTATACACACACATATAAAGTTTGCTTTTTATTTCTAATCTACAGGAGAAGTAGCCATCAGTTCTTCCAATGGGTGAAAAGACTGCATAACTAAGCAAATGTGACTCTGGGGCCTGCAAGGTGGCTCAGAGGTCTTAAAGGCCTTTGACACCAAATCTGATGACTTGAGTTCAGCCCCTAGGACCCACATGGTAAAAAGAGAGAACTGACTCCTGCAAGTTGTCCTCTGACCACCATGTGTGTGTCATACAACATTTGTGCCTAGACACACACAAAGTAACACACACACACACACACACACACACACACACGCAAAACAATTTCTCTTCATACCACCCTGCCAAGCTGAACAGTCTGAATAACTATCAATGAACTTGCACTTGGTACACAATCAATGGAGGACCAGGCGACACCTCGGCAATCTGAATGAGCCTCCATGCCATAGGAACCTGTGTCGGTGGCATTTCCTAGGAATTACCTGCCTAACACACAGCTGAAATTTACCATTCACATTGTGGGCTACCTTCTCCATTTTGCAGAATTCCAGGTAGAATGTTTGACCTTCCAGTGACTGACCTCAGGTTTACCAATTTTTAAGACTAGGCAAATTAGTTAGCCTCTCTAGTCCCAGCTTCCCAGCTGAAGATTTGCTGGTATACTGTATGAACGGCAGCCTCTCTGAACCGTTTCCACATGGTCGTTTTATACACGCGTCCTCTTCAGGCACATACCGCTTGGTTCTTTGATAACTACTAGTTGCTATTATTGTTGATAAGGAGTCCTGCCTCATAGTGGAATGGAAGTCTTTCCTCTGGAGTCTAAGCTCTTTGCGAAGTGGGGATAGAGAAAAGCTGCTTATT